CGGACGAAGTGTCGGCCTTCGCAGGCGTCCGAGGCCGGGCCGGCAAACGCATCCCTCGACGCTCGTCTAGGCTCTGAGCCTCCCGAGCTGCCGGCAGGTCCGGTTGGCGCTGGTGGAGCCGTAGGGCACATAGCCTTTCTCGCAGTCAAGATCCTAGGTGCGTATTTAAAGTGCCCGGTTTTAAACCACTAGTTTTAGCCTCTTGATCGTGGGAGACGCATCATGACGTGGGGCTACCTTGAAAAGGGAGCAGGTAGGGCGTTTCCATGTAGTGCTCCGAGAAATTATTCAGGGAACAAAACATGAGCAACTGAAGTACGTTTTTATATCTATATTTACACGCAAATATATAAAAGAAAGATTTTCCTGGGTAAGGAGAGGTTTTGGAAAAAACTCGCAAACCAACCACCAAACCCTACTCGGGGAGAAAAATGCGTTAGGATACCTGTATGTTACGCTGGACCACAGAGGTGCCTGTTTATTACTAGTTGCAAATGGGAGGAACAGTCTTTCAGCCAGGATATGGAAGAGAATTCCTTCCCAAATACCGCAAGTTTCAATGTCCTAACTGCCAAAAAACAAAGCCACCTCCTACACCTTCCTGGATACCAGAAGCCCCAACTGCCCGCTACCCATCTGTCAAAATTTATAGCTTTGCCTAGACAAATACCAACAATTCAGTCATGCACAAAGCCAGTGGCATCTTGAAAAATTGAGAGAAGTATAAAATACATTGAATGTAATGTAAAAATAAGTTACGTGGTGACTAGTGTACTTTTTTTTCCATGGCTCCATCTGCTAGCCCCTATCTTCTACTGAGCTTGCAGAGGCTTTGGAATAGGCCTTTTTGTTCTCTGAATGCTAAATGCGATCACAGGATCACGATCCATTCACTTCTGTGCATTTCTGCAGCACTGATTCTTTGGCCTGCCTCCCAAGGGCTTTTTTTTTGTGTTGGATGGCATTTTTGTATTTATGTTCTTTCAAGTAGCAGAGTAAGTTAGTTACACCGCATCTTCTTTTGTCTACAAAAAGCAGCAACTATTTCAGACATTCATTTGGGGGAGAGGATCCTGAAAACCAAAAGGAAAAATAAATGGGTAACACACACTGGATGCCTGGCACGTGTCAAGTCCAACCGCAGTTTTCTAACACCTCTGCAGTTGGCTATGGATCAAACAGCTCGCAGATAGCACCCGTCAGTGCCTCCCAGCACAATGATGCTTCTGCCTTGCCTCTCGGTAGAGTTAAGAGGAGCCTGCGCACAGTATGGACACAAATCCTAGCTAGAGGGGAACTGGAGAACTTGGTGTGGGAATAGCAGGGAGACCTAAAGGCCACCTCGCCCAAAGAGAAGTCCAGGGAGAGGCAGAAGGCCAGGGGAACTGGAGCTAAGATGTGTACCCAGGACTGGAGCGAGGCTGGGGAAAAGGACAGAACGGGACAGGGCTCTGCCGTGGCCTGTGCAGGTGGGAGGGAAAGGGAGGGATGGTGGCCCTTGGTAATGATTAGGAACACTGTAATGGGATCCGTAATGAGATAATAATATGGGAAAAGGGGCAGGAAACCCTCCTTGACAGAGAGAAGAACAGGTAGTAGCACAGGGAGAAGAGCTACGGCCAGAGCTGCTGGCTTAGGGGCAGAAGAAAGGTTTGGTGTGGGAGAAGAGGACTCAGAGCATCCTGAGGGGACGGGGGTTGAGCATTCATTCTTGTGGCTTCCTGAAACGACGGCATGGGACTTTGGCACAGCTTTTGACCTCTTGAAGGAATGCAAGGAGTCGTTGCAGGTGCAACGGTAAACTAAGCCCTGCAAAAGCAGCAAGTCTTACAACACCCCCTCTACTATCAGAACAATTTCTGTATTGCAGTTTCCAGAAGAAAAAAAAAAAGACATTTATTCAGAAAATGCCATTTTCTCCCAGCATGTGTCCTGTCCTCTACTCCAAGCCTTACAGCAGTGTTACCATTTGGAGGGATGCAAATGTGAAACTACCACAGAAAGAAGAGATTATCCAATACAGGGGGTCTTTCAGATAACGGGTAGGGACCCCAAGGGAGGCTGTTCCATGGTCGTGCATTTCAGATTTCCATGTAGAAGTGGCCTGCCTACGACATTGGCCTCAGATGCAAGGGGGTCCCAGGCAGTGCCTGTTTTTTCTTACACACACATTTTGGAGTATTTGATCTATTTAGTTTACTTGACAGCACAGTGTCCTTTAATGTTGTAAAATAATGGATGGTTGCCTTGGTCTGCGTCCCTAAGACCAGCCTTGCGACACGCTGAGACGAGACTCCCAGTTTTCAGCCAACTGGGTGAAAGCAGGACAACAGTGTATGTAATTCAAGGGGTTTTCTGTATGGTTTTGGCTGGTTGTAACATGTCAGAGAGAGAGCGATGAGACTTTTAATAGGGTTGCGGCAGAAATGCCTCTTAAGATTTGGGAATGTTACTGCGGTAGGTTATTGACAAATACAACACGTGAGGGAAGATGACCAGGGATGGAGATTTAGGTTTTTTGGGAGTGGGAGAAGACTCCGAGCATCCCGGCCTGGAGCGGAGCACAACCATTGCGCGGCTGGCAGAAGCAGAACAGGTCGCCCAGGGCGGCGAGCCCGACCCGCGGCGGGGGCCGCCAGGCCCAAGGCGGCCATTTGGGAGCGGCGTCCACGGGTGGGATGGGGAGCGCCCCCGGGCTGGGGGAGATGACCGCCGTGTGGGTGAGCGGCTGTTGCAGGGGGGGGCCCACAGCTGCCCCCGCCGGCCGG